GTTTCTATCTCTCCCTCTCCCTTCCTCTCTGTAAAAAAATCAATAAAATAAAATATTAATAATGCATTGTAATTTTAAGTATATAATTCCTTCACATCCTCTGTGAATTTATTCCTAGGTATTTTATTCCTTCTGTTGCAATTGCAAAAGGAATTTTTTCTCATTTCTTTTTCTGAATTTTCATTGTTAGTATATAGGAATGCAGTGATTTTTGTATCCTGTAACGTTACTATATTTATTGTTTCTAATAGTTTTTTAAATTTTTAAAATATATTTTGATTTTTTTACAGAGAGGAAGAGAGAGGAATAGAGTTAGAAACATCGATGAGAGAGAATCATCGATCAGCTGCCTCTTGCACACCCCCTACTGGAGATGTGCCCACAACTAAAGTACATGCCCTTGACCGGAATCGAATCCGGGACCAATACTTTACCACTGAGCCAAACCGGTTTCGGCAAGTTTTTAAAATATTTTTATTGATTTCAGAGAGGAAGGGAGAGGGAGAGAGAGATAGAAACAGCAATGATGAGAGAGAATCATTGATTGGCTGCTTCCTGCACATCCTACACTGGGAATGGAGCCTGCAACTTGGGCATGTGCCCTGCCTGGAAATCGAACCTTGATGCTCAACCACTGACCCATGCTGCCTGGGCTGTAATAATTTGTTTTTATTTTTGTTTATTTTGAAGTTCTGTGTTGAATAAATAGTGAGAATGAACATCCTTGTCTTGTTCCTAATTTTAGAGGAAAAGCTTTCAGTTTTTCACCATTGAGTATATTAGCAGAGGGTTTGTCATATACACCGAGTGGCCAGATTATGATGATCTCTGAACGCATAATAATCTGGCCACTTCGTGTACTTATGTATAAGGGAAAGCTTGCAAATCTTGATATGTCAAGGGACCCTGAGATCGTGGCCCCCAGCCTCTGGCTAGTAAGTCCTCTGCTTCTTTCTAACTACCCACAATGCAGTTTCTTTTACATGGAAAAACGTTATTTTAAAACCCCAACTCTGTGGTCAGTCTACACTGAGTGGGCAGATTATTATGCATTCAGAGATCATCATAATCTGGCCACTCAGTATCTGTTACTTTCTTTTCATACTGATTTTATTGAGTGTTTTAATCATAAATTGATGCTGTATCTTATCAAATGCTTTTCCTGCATCTATTGATAAGATCATATGATTTTTATCCTTTGTTAGTGTGCTGTATTACATTGATTGATTTGCATATGTTGGACCATCCTTGTGCCCTGGAATGAACCCTACTTGATCATGATGTTTTGTTATTTTTATGTTTTGTTGTATGCAATTTGCTAGTGTTTTATTTAGGATTTTTGCATCTGTATTCATCAGAGATGTTGTAATTTTCTGTTTTTGTGTTATCCTTGCCAAGTTTTGATATCAGGGTTATGTTGGCCTTATAAAATGTGTTAGGAAGTATTGTCTCCAATTTTTTTGAGGCATTTGAGAAGGATAGGTATCAAATCTTTAAATGTTTGGTAGAATTCAAAACAAAGCCACCTGGTCCTGGACTATTATTTTTTGGGAGGTTTTGGTAATTTTTCAATTTCCTCACAGTTGACTGATCTATTTAAGTTTCCTAATTCTTCATGATTCAGTCTAGGAAAGTTACATATATGTAGGAATTTATATATTCATTTATTCCCAGTGCTGTTCCCTGTAGCCACATGCTGTTCCCTGCAGCCATATGCTGTTTCCTGCAGCCACATGCTGTTCCCTGCAGCCATAATGCTGTTCCCTGTAGCCACATGCTGTTCCCTGCAGCCATAATGCTGTTCCCTGCAGCCATAATGCTGTTCCCTGTAGCCATATGCTGTTCCCTGCAGCCATATGCTGTTCCCTGCAGCCATATGCAGTTCTCTGTAGCCATATGCTGTTCCCTGCAGCCATAATGCTTTTCCCTGTAGCCACATGCTATTCTCTGTAGCCACATGCTGTTCCCTGCAGCCACATGCTGTTCCCTGCAGCCACATGCTGTTCCCTGCAGCCATATGCTGTTCCCTGTAGCCATATGCTGTTCCCTGTAGCCATATGCTGTTCCCTATAGCCACATGCTGTTTCCTGCAGCCATAATGCTGTTCCCTGCAGCCATAATGCTGTTCCCTGTAGCCATATGCTGTTCCCTGCAGCCATATGCTGTTCCCTGCAGCCATATGCAGTTCTCTGTAGCCATATGCTGTTCCCTGCAGCCATAATGCTGTTCCCTGAGCCATATGCTGTTCCTTGCAGCCACATGCTGTTCCCTGCAGCCATTATGCTATTCCCTGCAGCCATAATGTTGTTCCTTGCAGCCACATGCTGTTCCCTGCAGCCATAATGCTCTTCCCTGCAGCCACATGCTGTTCTCTGTAGCCACATGCTGTTCCCTGCAGCCACATGCTGTTCCCTGCAGCCACATGCTGTTCCCTGCAGCCATATGCTGTTCCCTGTAGCCACATGCTGTTTCCTGCAGCCATAATGCTGTTCCCTGCAGCCATAATGCTGTTCCCTGTAGCCATATTCTGTTCCCTGCAGCCATATGCTGTTCCCTGCAACCATATGCAGTTCTCTGTAGCCATATGCTGTCCCTGCAGCCATAATGCTGTTCCCTGAGCCATATGTTGTTCCCTGCAGCCATAATGCTGTTCCCTGCAGCCACATGCTGTTCCCTGCAGCCACATGCTGTTCTCTGTAGCTATATGCTGTTCCCTGCAGCCATATGCTGTTCCCTGTAGCCATATGCTGTTCCCTGCAACCATATGCAGTTCCCTGTAGCCATATTCTGTTCCCTGCAGCCATATGCTGTTCCCTGCAGCCATAATGCTGTTCCCTGCAGCCACATGCTGTTCCCTGCAGCCATATGTTGCTGGCGGTGTAACCAAGTGCATGGCAGTGGGTTGATGTGGGAAACCCGGCCACCTCTTTTGTTGCTTTGCCCTCCTGTCAGTGCCAACCAGTGGACCTTTGCATTGTTCCGCGCTCCCTGACATCCCTGCCCCCCCCATCCACCATCACCCCACCCACACACACACACACTACCCCACACCATCCCCTCCCCCTCTCCCTCTCCACCAGACCCTGTGGCTTTTTCTGCCTGGAATGCCGATTGCCAGACAACTGAGGGCCCACCTCTGTGCTTTGTCCTGCCCAGGTAGGTCACTGGGCTCAGCTGCAGCTTGTACTGTCCGCACCTGCAGATCTCTGCTTCCTTCCCTCTCCACCCTGAGCCCTTTGTGAGTTCCCAGCTGCAGGGCCGTGTCTGGGGCTAGTCTCAGCTTTTCCCTTCCAGCCTTCCCGGTTTGCTTCCACTTGCCCATCTGTAGATGCTCAGGGTGTGATTCTCAGGCATGTTTGTGCCTTGAGCAGGGAGTCCTTTGTTGAAATTGTTGAAGCTTCAAGGGGAAAGACCAAAGGGATCTCTCATGCCACCATTCCTCTGATGTCACTCAGTACCGTGGTAGGCAAACTGAGGCTCTTTGGCTCCTGGAGTGTGGCCCTTCCACAAAATACCACGGCCTGGATGAGTCTATTCTGAAGAAGTGACGATAGAAGTTTAAGTTTAAAAAATGTGGCTCTCAGCCGGGGCTGGTGCGGCCAGGCCCGGAGCAGCAGCTGCCAGGCTGGGAGCGGCCAGGCCCGGGGGAGCAGCCAGGTCGGGTGCGGCCAGGCCCGGAGCAGCGGCTGCCAGGCTGGGAGCGGCCAGGCCCGGACCAGCCGGGTTGGGTGCGGCCAGGCCCAGAGCAGCCGGGTCGGATGCGGCCAGGCCTGGAGCAGCAGCAGCCAAGTCCAGAGCAACTAGGTCAGGAGCGGCAGTGACCAGACCCGGAGCAGCTGGTTGTGGAACGAACCAGAGCAACAGAGGCCAGGCTCTGAGCAGCCAGGCCCGGAACAGCTCGCTCCTCGCCTGCCCCTGCCCCACGGCTGCCTCTCAGACATGGCTGGAAACTTTCGTGGGAACTTGAGGGTCTGCTGAATCAAGTGATGAAGGCTTAGATCTGGATGTGTTGAGTTACTATAGGGCTGGGGTGTTGATCTGTGAGTGCCTTGGGTGGGGCCTGGATGAGGCTGGTGGACCTATTGGGAAATGTCTTTTGTGTGAAGTGTATCATTGGGCATGTGGAGGTATTATTGATATGAGAAAATGCTAAGTAACTGATTTACTATCTGAAAAGGGATTTACTATCGGGGAAAGGGAGGGAAGAAGAGACTGAACATAAACTGTGCACCTATGGATGAGGACAATGGGGGATGGGGAGGGGGTGGAGGGTGGGGTGGGAACCTGGTGGAGGGGGGAAGAAATGAGGAACCTTTAATAATATGAACAATAAAGATTGATTTAAAAAAAATTTAAAAATAAATAAATAAATAAAAAATAAAAAATGTGGCTCTCAAAAGAAATGTTAATCATTGTACTGTTGATATTTGTCCCTGTTGACTAATGAATTTGCCGACCGCTGACCCAGTACACTGTTTTTTATATTGATTTGAGTTGAAAATGTATTTAAATTAATTACAACCTTTTCAATATTGGCTACAAGGAAATGTAAAATTACATAAATTGAATTGTGGCTGGCATTCGTGGCTCACATACTTCTATTTGGGCCATCCTTCTAGGCAGAGGTCAGCAAGCTTTCTCTATAAGGGTCAGATACTGTTTCAGGCGAGTGGGCCACACGGAGTGTTGCATAGTCTTATTTGGCGGTTGTTGCTGTCTTTGTATTAATACAATTGCTGAAAGATAAAAACCATCCTTCATTCATAGGCTGTAGGCCAGATTTGGCCCCTGGGCTCTAGTTTGCCAGACCCTAACTTCAGCAGACCAGCTACTGTGAGGCCTTTCCTTTAACTGAGGCATGAATGTGAAGCTTTAACATTATTAGCATTTGAGCAGGCAGTCTTTTGCTTTCCTATAGAAAAGAGCCATTTGTTATTTTCTTAAACATTATAAATTGTTCTTTAAAACTGAATGGTGTGGACCGTTTCTCTCTCTTTCAGTCATCTGTGTATTTCAAGCATTCTTACGAAGACTGGCTGGAAAACAACGGCCTGAGCATCTCCCCTTTTCACATCAGATGGCAAACTGCTGTGTTCAATCGTGCCTTTTACAGCTGGGGCCGGCGGAAAGCAAGAATGCTTTACCAATGGTATGCTTCTTTTTCTTTCTTTCTTTTTTTTTTTCTTTCTTTTTCTTTCTTTCTTTTTTTTGTTTTTTTGTTTGTTTGTTTGTTTAAATGAGTCATTGTGATCATGAGAAATGTTTGTTAATGGAACTGTTTCCATTATATTCCAAACTCCTGAGTTTTAAAAATGTTGAGAGTGTAGACATTTTCTGGTTTTATATAAACTTATGAGATTGCATCATCGTGTTTTTGCATACATTAAAAATCAAGATTCTCTATTTTTCTTTTTCTTTTTAATCCTTACCCAGACATATGGTTTTTACTGATTTTAGAGTGAGAGAGAGAGAGAAACATAGATGTGAGAGAAAACTATCGATTGTCTTCTATATACACTGAGTGGCCAAATTATTATGCATTCAGAGATCATAATAATCTGGCCACTCAGTCTATGTCCTAACCAGTGATTAAACCTGCAACCTATGTTTGTGCCCCAACTGGGAATCGAACCCACAACCTTTTGGTGCATGGAACACTGCTCCGTGCAAGTGAGCTACCCAGCCAGGGCAACGTTCTATATCTTCATCTGGATGGCAGGTACATGGGTGCACATATGTAAAAATTTAGTGAGCCATACACCTTAGACTTGCTCACTTTATTCTGTACATTGTACATTAATAGAAAAGCAAAAAACCTATGGAGCATTTTTCATCAGGAAAGTAATTCTGGAGAATTCTCTCCCCCATCATCACACAGAGCAATGTGGGGCCTGGGAGTCATAGGTCACCCAGAAGTCTGCATGTTTTCCCTTATACTTTTTTGTGTGATATTCCTCTAAATGTTTTAAAAACATTTAACAACCAGTAAGGCATATGCACAAACCACGTGGGAAAATGGCTAGCCAGAATGCAGTGTTGGGGTCCTTGCAATCCAAGCATATTCCTTTAGTTAAAAAAAAGAATTAAAAAATCATGGGACATATAGCGTTTATAGTTAAGGGGTTTCGGATAATCTCTAATACCCTCGAGACAGACAGGTTTTGTAATTGAGAGAATTTCTAATATGGGAGTTTGGGGGCCATTGTCTAAATTGCTTTTTGTTAAAAATTTAGCTCCAAATGTAAATAGATCATCGAAAAGCGGTAAATGCGCCAGCAAGTCAAAGCAAAGAAAACAAAAAGCAGGAAGTAATAAAGAGCAGAAATAAGTGAAATAAAAAGTATATCATAGATAAAATCAGTAAAAGCAAAAATTGGTTCTTTGAAAAGATTAATAAAATTGATAAACCCCCTACCATGACTGATCAAGAAAAAAAAGTTCACACACATAACTGAAGATCAGAATTGAAAAATGGAACATTAGTACAGATCCTGTAGACATTTTAAAATTGTTTTTTTTGTTTTTTTAATATGTTTTATTGATTTTTTACAGAGAGGAAGAGAGAGGGACAGAGAGTTAGAAACATGGATGAAAGAGAATCATCAATCAGCTGCCTCTTGCACACTCCCCACCGGGGATGTGCTCGCAACCAAGGTACATGCCCTTGACCAGAATTGAACCCGGGACCTTTCAGTCCCCAGGCCGACGCTCTATCCACTGAGCCAAACTGGTCTCGGCATAAGATCCTGTAGACATTTTAAAAAATGAAATTATTTTGAACAATTTTATGCCTATAAATTTAACTATTTAGATGAAATAGACAAGTTCCTTGAAAAATACAACTTATCAACAAGTTAGAAAATGTAATAGATACAAGGGTAACTTCTATTAAAACAGTAAAAGAAAAAAAACTATTATTAAATTTTACCATGTTAGTATTTAAGCTCATCACAAAATATAGCTAAAATAAGATGCAAATAATAGAATCAGTAAATAAAAAAGAATAGATGTCTATATTATGTCAAAAGAACTTTCATAACTATATGAGAAAAAGAGCAAAACAGTGTTATGTAAATGAACAAAAGACAAGAGACAAAACTTTTTATTGGAAAGAATATTCAGCCGCTTCGGTTATGAGAGAAATCTAAGTTAACCTGTTTCCCCAAAAATAAGACAGTGTCTTATATGAACTTTTGCTCCCAAAGATGCGCTAGGTCTTATCTTCAGGGGATGTTCTATTTTTCCATGAAGAAGAATACGGTACACATTTGTTGTTAAATGAAAATAAAGAAAATTTATTATCTCTATACGGTAGGGTAGTACGGTAGTTGTCAACACAAACCAGACAAACTGTGAATCCTACAGTATCAAGAATTTTCTCATTTATTCAGTGACAATCATGTCATCATCTTCTGGAACATCATCATAACAATCCAATTCCTGAATTTCCTGGTGAATTTCTTGTGACTCCATTACTTTCAGAATCAGTGGACCAAATCTCTCATGTTTAGCTTAGGGAGGGGGGCCTTATTTTGGGGAGATGGCTTATATTTCACTCAGAAGGAAACCTGTAAGTAGGTCTTATTTTCGGAGGATGTCTTATTTTCGGGAAACACGGTATTAGAACAGCTTAGATAGACAAGGGCCTGTGCTTCAATCACAGATTTGGAGTTCAGATAAGAAAAAAGAGATAGAGTCTGCGAGCTGCCCTGGATGTGAAAGGAGCCGATGTGAAAGGAGCCTACGGGACCTTTGCCGCAGCCCTGCCCCCGCCCCAGGACCCAGCTGCCCCACCCTGCATGCCAGCTGCAGGGCGCCTCCGGAGCAGCTGTCCCGAAAGGGGCAGAAGTACTTTGAGCTGGAGGTGCGGGTGCCCCAGGCCAAGGGCCCCCCCAAGCGCGTGTCCCTGGGGGGCGCCGATGACCTGTGGAAGGTGCAGGAGGAGGAATCCCGGAAGCTGCAGCAGAAGCGGAAGCTGCAGCAGAAGCGGGTGCAGATGCTGCGGGAGGCTGCCGGCGTGATGCGGATGGGGAGGCCTAGGACAGCGAGAAGCCGGAGGACAAGCCTCTGTGGGCCAGCGCCCCCGCTGCAGGGCTGCTCCCCGCGTCCCCGGCGCCCCTGGGAGGCAGCGCCTCCGTGCGGAGCCCGGAGGTGCCGGCGCCCGAGCGGGCCCTGTCCCCACCCTGGAGGCCCAGAAGCCAGCGCTGCGGAGGGCGGCCAGGATGAAGTCCCTGGATCAGGACGCCCTCCGCGCAGATGGTCCTCAGCAAGCCCCGGGACGGCCGCAAGCAGGGCCCCTCGCCCGCGCCCACCCCCTGGAAGACCTCGGCCCGCTGGCCGGCAGCTCCCCGGGACACCTGTCCCCGGATGCGGAGGAGCTGCGGTGCCGGGAGCCAGCTCCCAGCCCCGGCCTGCAGGAGGAGGACTGAGAGGTGGCCCTGGTGCTCCTGGGCAGGCCCTCGCCCCACGCCGTGGGCCCTGTGTAGCAGCCGCCGCCCCGCCAGCCTGGGCCCGGTGCCCTCCTTAAGGGCCGTCCCTTCCCCGGACTTGGGGTGGGGCCCGCCAGCACCTCCAGACCAGCCCCAAATTTTTTAACCTGGCCTTAGCGTTTTAGAGACCCCGCAGGAGTTCTGGCCGCGACTAACCTCTCCCTCCCCAGCCGGGACCTCTTGGCAAGACTAACTAGTGATGTTTGTACAACCAAAGACTCGATTTTGTGGTTTAAGGAAATAAAATTGACTACATTTAAAAAAAAGAAAAAAGAGATAGGGCCGAAACCGGTTTGTCAGTCTACGGACTGAAAGGTCCCGGGTTCGATTCCCGTCAAGGGCATGTACCTTGGTTGTGGGCACATCCCCAGTAGAGGGTGTGCAAGAGGCAGCTGGTCGATGATTCTCTCTCATCTATGTTTCTAGCTCTCTCTCCCTCTCCCTTCCTCTCTGTAAAAAATCAATAAAATTTATAAAAGAAAAAAGATAGCGGTACTGGAATTTTTTACACATTTTGAAGCTATGAAATGTGCCTGGTCAATGAATTTTTTAGCCCATGAATTACGAAGAATTGTAAACTTATGCAATTTTTTCCTTTTAACAGGTTCAATTTTGGAATGGTGTTTGGCGTAATTGCCATGTTTAGCTCCTTTTTTCTCCTGGGGAAAACGCTGATGCAGACTTTAGCACAAATGATGGCTGACTCTTCCACTTCTTATTCTTCCTCCTCTTCTTCCTCTTCTTCTTCCTCCTCTTCTTCCTCTTCCTCCTCCTCTTCTTCCTCTTCCTCCTCCTCCTCACTTCACAACGAACAAGTGCTACAAGTTGTGGTAAGTACCTTCTTTTTGCTTTAAGTAACTTTTGAAACAGATATAAGCTATTTCTTTTGGATAACATAACTCCTAATCTATAATTTAAATATGAAAATAAATTAAAAGTTGCATGATTTCTCAAATTATCTCCCTAAGCAAAAATATTAGTAATAATATAGCAAAGAATTGCTGCAATATGTAGTAGTAGCAATAATAGAGGTAACAGAACAAATGGACCATCATTAAGACTGTCAAGATTACACGGGTTTTGATTTAATATGTGTTGTCTTGAGATGTTAAATGATTGTTAATATAAAAGACTAAGCATGGTGATTTAAGAACTCTAATAATTCTCATTTTAAAGCACTTGTGTAACCCTATATACCTTATTAATTCCTGCTCTAGAGTTTGGAAGAGTGATTTTCCATTGGCTAACTTTTATTTCAAATTTTTTAATTTGTAGTTTTCATTTCCATGAGTCAGGTATGTTATATTTTTACTCATATTCTTTTTTTAAATATATATTTTATTGATTCTTTTACAGAGAGGAAGGGAGAGGGATAGAGAGTTAGAAACATCAATGAGAGAGAAATATCAATTAGCTGCCTCCTGCACACCCCCCACTGGGGATGTTCCCGCAACCAAGGTACATGCCCTTAACCGGAATCGAACCTGGGATCCTTCAGTCTCCAGGCTGACGCTCGATCCATTGAGCCAAACCGGTTAGGGTTTAATCATATTCTTATTAACGGAATAGACTGTTTAAGAGTTAGTGATAGATTTTTTTTTTTTTAACTCATCTCTTTGTGGCTTCTATAGGCTGGATCACTATGGGAAAATTTAAAAGTCATTTATAGCGAATGATAAAGAATCTCCCCTACGCCCTAGCTGGTTTGGCTCAGTGGATAGTGCGACCTGTGGACTAAAAGGTCTCAGGTTCGATTCTAGTCAATGACACATGCCCGGGTTTCAGGCTCAATCCCCAGTTGGGGGCGTGCAGAAGGCAACAGATCAATGATTCTCTTTCATTGATGTTTCTGTCTTTCTCTCCCTCTCCCCTTTATTGATTTATTGAAATCACTAAAAATATATTTAAGAAAAAGAAACTCCCCTATGATAATAGCTCTTTCTTAGAGGCTAAAAGAAGTTAATTTTCCAGGCGAGGCCTTGGAAGAGATGACTTGTTTCTCAGCAAACATTTAATGTGTGCATTCTGTCTCTTGGGCCTGTGTTGAGTCCTGCTTATACCGGGAACAGAATCCGTTCCTAGCAGTCATGGAGGTTTTAGTTTAGAGGGAGAGCTGCTATGCTTATGCTACGGTTGGACAGAGCGGAAGGTGCTGTGGGACAGAGTGAAGGCGTGCTGAGATGGGCCTGCCACTGGGGGGAGAGTAGAGGAGTGCTTCAAGGGAAGAGTGAAGAGAATCCACATACCCTGGGAAAGGAAGATGGCAACTGAGCATCTCAGTAACAGAGGAAACCATGTAACATGGAAAGGTGAAGGAAATAATAGTAATAATAAAACCTAGCCAAAACCAGTTTGGCTTAGTGGATAGAGCATCGGCCTGCAGACTGAAGGGTCCCAGGTTCGATTCTGGTCAAGGGCATGTACCTTGGTTGTGGGCACATCCCCAGTGGGGGGTGTGCAGAAGGCAGCTGGTTGATGATTCTATCTCATTGATGTTTCTAGCTCTCTGTCCCTCTCTCTTCCTCTCTGTAAAAAAACAATTATATATATATATATATATATATATATATATATATATATATATATATTAAAATTAATAAAACCTAGTTAATATGCAGGGCTTCCTGTGTGAGGTTTCTGTGCCCATTCTATTTTATTCTTATAACAATCTGGAGATACATTTCACACACGAGAAAACCAAGGCACAGAGATGTTAAGTCACTTGCCTATGGCCACAATTTACTTGCCTATGGCTAGTAAATTGGGGTTGGGGGTGGGGGGTCCCATCACTCATCCAACATTGACCTCAGAGCCATCCTACTCCCTTAAGAAAGACCAGCAATTCTTCAAGCAGCTATAAAGTAACTTTGACTTATGTCTAGGAGGTATATGGCAGAAGGTGTATGGTACAGGAGATAAGATGGGGGATACTGGTAAGGTCTGGGTTATGAAAGGCCATTCTAAGAAGTTTTGATTTTCCCTATAGATAACAGGTCTGTGCACAATGAACCAAAGCAGGTGAGATGGGGAAACCATTTAAGAGGGCAGTTGGAATATTCATGTGAGAAGTGATAAAGATCTAAACTAAATTAGTGTTAAGTAGAATGAAGGGGGTAGATTCAAGGTTTCTACTGGAGTGGAGTTCTCAGGCCTTGACCATTAATTGAATGTGAGGCTAATGTAGAGAGAGTTTAGGATAACTCTGGGGATATTCAATTAGTTATTGTTTGCCAAGAAGAGAATAGTATAGGAATAAGCAGATTTGGAGAAAATATGACCATTATCCTTTCTGCCTGCTAGGATTAGAATGGCAAAATGTTATGCAAAGAAGAAATAAATTCTTCTTTTTGCTCCTCATTTTATCCATAGAGCTCAGAGTCATGCTTTGGAACAAGCAAGAAGTCAACTGCCCTCTGTAGTTCGCCGTGCATATTTATGTATACGTTTAAGAATGTTGTTATCTCCTGACTCTAATACGAGCTCTAGTAGCTTAGAGAACATACTTCTGTTCACCTTATAATTCCGTACAGTCTGGTTCAGTATTCATTCCCCAAAACCTGGCACTCTGCTGCTGAGAGATCAGTATTCTGGTACATCTAATACCCTGTTTGATCACAGCCAAGACAGATGGGCAGTCGCGTACTATTGCTAGCAAATAAGACGTACCATCTGTTGGTATAATCACATGCTCAGATCCTTACCTTACCTCATTGTTACATCTATAAAATATAAAGAACCAATGTCCTATTGCAGCAGTTTTCAATCTTTTTCATCTCGTGGCACACACCAATGATTACTAAAATTCTGCGGCATACCCAAAAAATATTTTGACAGTTTGGCAAAGAAATAAGTATAATTTTGATTGATTTACCAAAGTAATAATAATTACCCTTTTGCTCCTAAGTAACTGTTAAAAAAAAAAAATCAGATGCTTATACTTGTATATAAATACTAGAGGTCTAGTGCACGAAATTTGTACATGGGGGGAGGGTCCCCTCAGCCCAGCCTACACCCTCTCCAATCCAGGACCTTATGGGGGATGTCTGACTGCCCTCTCACAATCCTGGACTGCTAGCTCCTAATGACTTATCGGCCTGCCTGCCTAGTAGCCCATAACTGCCTCCCCTACCAGCCTGATCAACCCTAACTGTCCCCCTGCTGGTCAGGTCGCCCCCAGCTGCCTCCTCCCTGCTGGCCTGGTTGCTCCTAACTGCCCCCCCCCACCAACCTGGTCACCCCTTACTGCCCCCCTTTGCTGGCCTGGTTGCCCCTAATTGCCCCCCTCCTGCTGGCCTGGTCTCCCCCCAACTGTCCCTCCCTGCCAGCCTAGTCGCCCCTCAATGCCCCACCCTCCGGACTAGTCACCTCCCAATGCCCCCTGCCAGCCTAATCACCCCACCCCTTTATTGAAATAATCAGTCGTTAAGTCATTCCTCACTAACCCCCCTGCTGGCCTGGTCACCCCACACAGCCCACTGATGGTCATTTGTTCATCCCTCACTAACCCCCCTGCTGGCCTGGTCACCCCACACAGCCTGCTGCTCAGTCATTTGGTCGTACCTCATTAACCCCCTTGCTGGCCTGGTCATCCCACACAGCCTGCTTGTTCAGTTTGGTCGTACCTCACTAACCCCCCTGCTGGCCTGGTCACCCCACACAGCCCACTGCTGGTCATGTGTTCATCCCTCATTAACCCCTGCCGGCCTAGTCACCCATGCAGCCTGCTTGTTCAGTGTTTGGTCCTCCCTCACTAACCCTCCTGGTGGCCTGGTCATAGGCAGCCATCTTGTAAGGGTGTGATGATTAATTTGCATATTAACTCTTTATTATATAAGATTTCTCATGCCAAGAATTAACCAGTCAGACTCAACATTATTATGTGACATGACTAATAAGATGTAACCCGATTATATAACCTATTTATATGGTTCAGGGCAAGGCATTCACACCAGGCAGCTTTTGTTGTGTTGGCTGTTGTAATTTTTTGGTTGTTGTTAATCCTCACCTGAGGATATTTTTCCATTGATTTTCAGAGAGAGTGGAAGGGAGGGGGAGAGACACATCGATTGGTTGCCTCCCACATGCACCTCAACCAAGACTGGGGATACAGCCTGCAACTGAGGTACATGCTTTTGACTGGAATCGAACCCGGGACCCTTCAGTCCGCAGGTCAACACTCAATTGACTGAGCCAAACTGGCTAGGGCGGCTGTTGTCATTTTTTATTTGGTGATCTAAGGGAGGAGGTCAGTGCCCCTGATTAAATACTCAGGTACTGCATGTTTTAAAAATTCTTGTAGCACACCAGTTGAAAACTGCTGTCCTATTATATTAGATCAAGCCTACTGATTTATTTGACATAAAGGCAAAGTAACCAGGATACTTTGTGATATACTGGGAATGGTTGAGAATTAATCTTCAGTACATAAATTTAGAAAGGGGTCAGAGAAAAGGAAACTACTAATTCGAACAGAAAGATGCCTCACAACATGGGAATGAAGCTGGTATGTAGAAAAAGATCTACTGATGTTCTTGAAAAGAGGTGCTGAGTAGGGACTGGGTAAAGAGGACTATATTATCAGCATCATAAGTGGCCTAAATTTAGGGGGAAAGTAGCATTAATCAAAAGTAGTATTTTCCCGTCCTAGATCGTTTGGCTCAGTGGATAGAGCATCAGCCTGTGGACTGAAGGGTCCCAGGTTTGATTCCAGTTAAGGGCACATACCTTGGTTGTAGGCCCCATCCCTAGTCAGGGTGTTTGCTGGAGGCAACCAATCGATGTGTCTCTCTCACATCGATGTTTCTCTGTCTGCCTTCCTTCCATTCTCTCT